ACAGTTCAGTGACATTGACTATGCTCTTCCAATTGTGCTGCTATTCTCACTTTAGATGAAGGTTTACAGAACAAAATAGTTTATCATTAAACAGTACACATGTTGCCCTATGAAAATGGTTAACAACCTCACTACACATCAACACTGTCCTTACTCAACCTTGGGTTCCCTATCACCAGCTTTCCTGACCCCTTCTGCCTTCTAGCCCTTGTCCCTGGACTGCTGTGCCTCATTAGTCCCATTTTGTTTTATGGGGCTGTCCAATCCCTGGCTGAACGGTGAACTTTGGGAGTGACTTCACCACTGAGCTAAAAGGGTGTCTGGGGGCCATACTCTCAGGGTTTCTCCAGTCTACAAAGAGTATCTTTAAATAAACAAATTCCCACTGAGTCCATTCCAACTCATGGCGACCCCATATGTATCTGAGTAGAACTGTGCTCCATAGGGTTTCAATGGCTGATTTTTCAGAAGTAGAATGCCAGGACTTTCTTCTCAGGTGCCTCCAGGCAGACTCGACCCTCCAACATTCCACTTAAGCAGCTGAGAGCATTAACCAATTGTATTTATGCCAAATAACACAGATTTTCTAATTATAAACGCAACATTTTATAGTATCTTGCCTTTTCCCCCATTTAAATTTTTAAAAATACATTTCCCATGTTATTAATAGAAGATGAGTAAACTTAACTTTAAATGGCTGCACATAATGGTCTGTTTTTTTAACTTTGTTTAACTACCCAGTTTTTGTTTAGTATGGATTTTTAAGCAGTTCACAATTTGTGAAGTTCTATATCATGCTCAGGTACATCTTTGTGCAAAAATTTTTAGTATATTTTAAGATGTTAGTCTTAGATTTCTGAAAGAATTACTGGGTCCAAGAATGTAAATATTTAAATATCTGTAAGTCTATTGATATCTATTGTCAAATTGCTTTCTGAAAGTATTTTAATGTTTACATTCTGACACAAAGCACAGGAGAATGCTTGTTTCACAATGTCCTCAACCTTGCTAAGTGGTGAAAAAGGTAAAAATGGCACAACTGTTCACTTTTGTATCTTAAAAAAACACTTATCAGCACTGACATTTTTTACAAGATTTTTCCTAATTATAAATACAATATATGCTCATTGTAAAACGAAAAGAAAACATGTATATTTGCACGCACATGTGTGTGTGTATATCTAGATACATATAAAAGAGAAAATTTTAAAAATCACCTGTCATTTCTTAATCTACGGATTAAATATTGTTAGCATGTTAGTGCTGTTTTCTTTAGTCTTTTTGCAACATGCCTTCCAATGTATTTTTTTTTTTTGCCAACAATTGATGCATAAGTGCAGTGAGTGTATAACTGAGTTCCTTTAATTGCAAACTGAACCCCCCTATGTTTTGAGGGCAGCCCTTGATACTATATGTGGAATCAGATATGTTTCTACGTTTCTCCTTATCCTCCTTTCTTCCCCTCTCCCACTCAAGACTAGATCAAGATCTGAGGATGCCACTGCAGGGTATATAATTTGATGTCCCTTTAAATATTTGTTCAAAGTTGACTTACAGGAGAGGCTGAATCCGCATGGACTCTGAAGGTAACTTAACCTCTTCATCACTACCTGAAACAAATCAGCTCTAGCCCTGACTTTTATATCCCATTCAGTGAAATAAAAGCTTTGCAATTCACCAGGGCCAACCTTGTTAGGAGAAAACTTCCTATTCCACAATAAGCAGTTCATGGAATTCCTTCCAACCATACAAATCGCCTCCCTGAGAGGTGTTCTAACATTCTCTTTTTTCCATCTTATAATGTTTCCAGTGATGTTTGCAGGCTCCCATGGATTTGCCCATCGAATGCCACCCCTTAATGTGTTTCTGCCCCCAATTTTGGTGTCCCTGAAGATGGCACTGGGCATTTAGTCTATGCCCTCTAAAAGTGGTTACCCTGGGACTATAATCAGGGCATTTCTGAATTGATTATACCAAATGTTTATAAAAGGCAGGCAATAGCCCTCATGACCTTGAATCTTACCTGGACTAGATCCTTCAAAGCAGAAGAAACGAGAATACAGGCAGTCCCTGAGTTATGAATGTCCGACTCACGTACAACCTGTAGTTATGGACCAACCTCCATAAAGGCTACTATATTGAAAATTCGAGGTACACACAATGGTTTGTAATAACAAACGGGCAGTACTTTGTGATGCACATCAAAACATTATTATTACTGTATTATCCTGTTAAAGATGCTTTAGTGTATCTGGAAGCGTTTCTTTAATATTTTTTATGCATAGAAAGGTACGCTATATACTATATACTAAGAGAAACATTTGACTGATGTTAGATACAAACTGTACCTAACTATTCTGACTTATGTACAAATTCAACTTAAAGATAGACTTCGTTGTGTTGTCTGGAGTATGAAATTAGTCATCTTATATGATAAAGAAGATAAGAATTTATAAAGCCTATGTCACCTCATTCACCATGTGTCAATAAGGTAAAGATATCTGATCTATTATTCAAACTGTTAAGGAGCCCTAATGATGCAATGGTTAAGCGATTGGCTGCTAACTAAAGGTCAGAGGTTCAAACCCCTGCAGAAAAAAAAACACCTGGTGATCTGCTCTCGTGAAGACTACAGCCTTGGACACCCTATGGGGCAGCTCTGCTTTGTCCTATAGGGTTGCTGAGTTGGAATCAACTCTATGGCACACAACAACAATTCAAATTGTTATCTTCAGAGTACCTTGTATGAGTATCTTGGCATTTTTCTTCAATTATTTCAGCAACTGATGGGCAGTAATTTTTGAGTTTACCAATAACCTCCTGCAGTTTCTCCCAACTTCCTTCACTGCTCTCAGCTTCATCTTGAAGAGCCTAAGAGAACACAGCAGGAATGTTAGTTTCAAAATGGTTTGGTTACTTCCAGACAAGGCAGCTTGTCAACACTTGTTGATACATAACAACAATATAACACTCAAGTCTTAATAGAAGAGTGATAAACTATAAGGAATGTGAAGAAGAAAACAACTAAGAAATCATTCCTTGTTTGAGGCTAAACCATAAAAATGACATTCTAAAATAAACCCCTCCAAAACCAAAACAAAACAACAAAAAACTAAACTTTTAAATTGTGAAATAATGCGACTATGAAAAATGAAGGAAAATTCGATGTATAGTTTTACATGTCACTCATACAGCTTATTTTTGAATTTCAAGTCATAATTTTGATGCTCCTGTTTAAAATACTGTTTGATGCTTCCCTGTGGAAGGCACAAAAGCAAATGTGTCTATTACTGTGCTTGCTTCCATTCCAAATTTTCTGCCAATAAAACACTGGTTAATTTACCTGAAGGTTCTGCACCTGGCATCTCAAGGCCTCCAATGACAAAACCACAGGCTTGCTGTGCCCCATGCAGTACCAGAATCGGATTGTCATCATATTCACTTCATCATAGAGTTTATCATAAATCTTCCACTCCTGTAAAACTGACTGCATGGAGGTTTTGAGCTGACTGACCTATTGGAAAAGTAGAAACAACTTAATAAAATCTTTTTCCTTCCAGTGACTCTTCTATTGTACCCAATTTAGGCATTTAAATATAAGAATATTGGAAGATCTTTGGGAACTAACTAGATGTGGGAAGAGTAGGCCAATGAATAAAGACACATCAGAGAAGGCTAAGTTTTAATATGGATGAATGGGAAAGAGACCTAAGACCTAAAGGATCGGCACCGAGAGACATCACTAGGGAGGCACAGCCTGGGGAAAGAAAACCAGCAAGGAATCAGAGGCTGTGAGTGCACATTTCAGTAACAACCTACTTGTTTTCTGACTGTGAGCAATTTATTACATCCCTAAGTCTGTTTCTTCATCCACAAAATGTAGACAATAAGTGAAATAATAAATAAGATAGTGTCTGTGAAAATGCTGTGAAAGCCATAAAGCATTGTAACATACACTATTAATGTTACTGAGCACTTAAGTCTGATGACCACTGCAGAGCAGGTACAACCTGGAGATGGACATGTTCTGCCAAAATGATGGGCAAGTGCAAAGGAGGAGGAATTCTAACAGTAGGTATGTTTTACCCATTAATATGTTCTGATAATCATGAAAAGAGTAGAAGTTGAAGCATTTTTTTTACCCATTTAAAATGATCTCAGATACTATCCAGAATATATAAAGAACTCTTACAACTCAACAACAACGGGCAAATAATCCAATTAAAAAATGAGCAAAGGCCTTGAGTAGACATTCCTCCAAAGAAGATACATAAATGGAAAACAAGCACATTTGTCATTAGGGAAATAATTAGTCATTAGGGAAATGCAAATCAAAACCACAATGAGATACCACTTCACACACCATTGGATGCCTACAATAAAAAAGAGATAATAATATGTTGGTGAGGATGTGGAGAAATTCCACTGTTGGTGAAATGTAAAATCGTGCAGCCATTTGAGAAAATGGCCTCGCAGTTCCTTATAAAGTTAAACATAACAGTTATCAAGTGATATCCTGTGACACAGCAATGCCACTCCTGGGTATATATTCAAGAAAGATGAAGACATATGTCTACACCAAAAACCTGTACATGAATGTACATAGGAGCATTATTCATAATAGCCAAAAAGTGGAAACAGCCCAAATGTCCATCAACTGATGAACAGATAAACAACATGTGGAATCGCCATATGGTGGAATATTATTCAGCCATAAAAAGGAATGAAGTACTGATACATGCTACCACATGGATGAACCTTGAAAACACTGTGGTACATGAAAGAAATCAGTCACAAAAGGCCACATTTGGTGATTCCATTTATATGAAATGTCCAGGATAGGCTAATCCACAGAGAAAGAAAGACCAGTGGTTGCCAAAGGCTGGGGAAGTAGAGGAATGGAGAGTGACTGTTAATGGATATGGTGTTTCTTTTTGGGGTGATATAATACTCTGTGATTAAACAGTGGCGATGCTTGCAAAACTTTGTGAACATATTAAAAACCATTGAATTATATGCCTTAAAAGGGTACATTTATAGCTCAATTAAAAAAAAAAAAAAAAAAGATCTGAGTAGAACGGAGTGCCATCACTATGTTGGCCCAATTGGACATCTCTATGTGTGCTGCAATGTCACAGTTTTGGATGTAGTCATACAGTCTTGCATTCAGGCCCTCTGTTTCCTGTTTAACAACTAAGGGCTCATCCAGTGATAGGGAGGCTTCCTCAATTCCTGCCTCAAACAGCAACAGATAAAAAACAACCTGGGATGCTAAAATGTTAGTTGTTTACAGGCAATTATGTGAGTGAAAATGATCCAAATATTATGATCTTTAAAAGGGTTAGATAGCTCATAAACAAAAACCTGAGTCATAAAGACTTGGAATAAAAGACAGGAAAGGAAGGAAGGCAGGGAAGGAATTCCCTATAGATGTAGCTCTCAGAGGCTGGGGCCTATCTGGGTAGCAGTGATAATTCTGCCGAAAAAGTACCAAATCATCCCAAAACCTACAGGCACATGCCACCCAAAAAAGACACTGCCATGGTTCACGCTGCACAAGGCTTTCTTGGTTGCTACACATTAAGTTGGTGCAGCTTCTATGCTCTTAAGGGTAACCCCTTATGATATTACAGCTTCATGGAGAAGAAATGGTTCATATGGTTTGTGGAAAAGAATAAGAAAAGCATTAAATATTATTCACTACACTAGAAACAAGAAGGAGGAATATTTTCAAAATGTTAATACTAGTATCAGACAGTAGGGCAGCATTTACTGAGTACCATATAGGCATCGCTACTAAGGTAGAAATCAATAAGTATTATTATCCCCATTTTATAGACCAGAAAATTGAAGCTTAAAGAGGATAAATAACCAAGTAGCCTGCCCAAGGACACAGAGTGCAAATGGTGTAGCCAGGATCTTTATTTAGGCAGAGACTATAAAACCTTTGCTCTTAAACACTAGGCTATATTGACTCTGGACACAGCTTATAGATGGATGATTCAGGTCTTGTGACCTCTGAACAATTCTTTAATAAAAGCTTTCTTGAGATATAATTCATATACTATACAATTCACCCATTGAAAGTATGCAATTCAATGTTTTTTAGTATATTCATAGAGTTGTGCAACACCATGAGAAAATAATACTAACAACAACAAAATACAAGAAGGCTATATAGAAATAGTACACTTCAAATGAATTCTACTACCTGATTGATAACACTGTTCCTCTTTTGAAATAAACCATCAATTGCGGATGCTGTATCTTCTAGTAATGGCATCGTGCTGCTCTCCAGAGTAAGGTAACTTTGTCTCAGCTCATCTAGGGCTTTGGATTTAATTGCAAGTTGATTTTCTATATCCTGGAAGAGCAAAGTAAAAACGTTTTCATATGCAGAATATGATAAAATAATAAAGTAGAAGACAAAGGAGTTCTCCCTTTTCAAGAAAAAATGCCACTAGGACATGTAATTAAATAGCATTACATTAGACATTTTAATCGTGACATACTCTTAATTCTATTTTAAATTACATGGCTCTAGATTTTAGGAGAATCTAGGCAACAAGTCCTTGCCATCATAGCATAGTAGTAAGAACCCAGAAGATCTGGATTCCACCCCAAATCTGCCCTGTACTGGCTGCTTGACCAAGCATAAGTCACCTAATCTGCGAGTTTCTATTTTCTCAGTTGGAAAATAGTGATGACACCCCATGCTATGCTTAACTTAGAACACAAATGAAACTACCAACAGGAAGGTGTTTTTTAAACCATAAAAAAAAACCTAGTTGTTGAATTGATTTCGACTCATGGCAACCTCACGAGTGTTGAAGGAGAACTGTGCTCCATAAGGTTTTCAATAGCTGATTTTTCAGAAGCAGATCACCAGGCCTTTCTTTCAAGGCATCTCTAGGTAGACTTGAACCTCCAACCTTCTGGTTAGCAGCTGAATGCATTCACCATTTGCACCATCCTGGGACTCCAAAGTACCATATGCAAGTAATATAAGTATTGGTAGTTCAGCCAGTAATAGCACAAATTACTTTGATATACTTTTTTTCCTCTTTGAGTCTATTAATTCACTCATAAAAGGCACCTCAACCTGGCTTCTGAAAAAGATCTCCTTTACAGGAGCTGTCTTCTCTCAGAGAAGGAGAACATGGAGTCATGAGTCTGAAAACAGAGATGAGCAGGCTCACAGCAACGTCACAACTCTTCACAGAGGAAGGAAGGTGGAGCTGCCCTTCTCAGGATTGGGATGGAAATCGATTTTGGAAAAAAGTTTATTTTTTTTTATTATTAAGAAATTATAAACTCATTAGAGAAAATGTGGGAAATACCAAAGACCTCTAGCATTCAGATAAGATGAATTCTGAATTCCTTTCTAATCTCCAACTTTAAAATTTGGGAAGTATTTGTGTAGGTTTTCCTCAGTATCACATTTCCATCCAACACTTTTTATTTTTTTTTCTAATTGTGCTTTAGATGAAGGTTTACAGAGCAAATTAGTTTCCCATTCAATAGTTCGTACATAAATTGTTCCATGACACAGGCTGCACTCCCTGCAATGTGTCAGCACTCTCCACATTACCACCCTGAGTTCCCCATTTCCATTATTCCGATTTTCCTGCCTTCTCATCTTTGCTTTTGGGCATATAATGTCCTTTTGGTCTCATGTAGATGATTGTTCTAAGGAGCACTTTCCTCACGTGTGTTATTATTTATTTATGGACCTATTATTTGGCTGAAAGATAATCTCTGGGAATGGCTTCAGTTCTAAGTTAGAAGGGTGTCCAAGGGCCATAGTCTTGGGAGTTCCTCCAGTCTCTCTCAGACCAGCAAATCTTGCTTTTTTCATGAATTTGAATTTTCTTCTACATTTTTTCCCCCCACTCTAACCAGGACCTTCTATTGTGATCCTGGTCAGAGCAGTCAGTAGTGGTAGCTGGGCACCATCTAGTTCTTCTGGTCTCAGGCTGGTGGAGGCTATGGTTCTTGTGGTCCATTAGTCCTTTCGACTAGTTGTTCCCTTGAGTCTTTGGTTTTCTTTAATCTTCTTTGCTCCAGATGGAAAGAGACCAACGTTTGTATCTTAGATGGCTGCTCACAAGCTTTTAAGATCTGAGATGCTACTCACCAAAGTAGGATGTAGAATGTTTTCTTTATGAACTATATTATACCAGTTTACCTAGATATCCCCTAGGACAGATGAATGTTTTGAATACACAGTCTCAAGTCAATGGCCCTTCCCTGCTTAATTTTCTTTCTTTCTTGAACACTGTTTTTCACAAGAAATGCAGCTTTTTTTTTTTTTTTAATCCTCACAAGAATCACTGTGTGCTCATAAGCAAAGGGACATGAGAACCTCACAGACACTCAGCTGCTGGGCAGGTGGCTAGGTTTACATCCTGGTGAGGGACTAGCTCCCTCAGCTAGCTCACAGAGCGGTACTGTAACTCAGCCCCAGCAAAACACTAAATTACCACATGCTGGGAGCCTTCATTCAGATCACTCTTGAAGTTGTTCTATTTTCTCTACAATGAAGGGAAAACGGATCAGAGAGGACTATGCTGAGAGAGAGAAGCAAACAACATACATAGAAAACCAAAACCAAAGCATGAACAGTAACCGTGACAATAACAGCACATGAACACACATACAGAATGAAGCTGTTCTTAAGTTTATTTTCTGCTCTGTGGCAGTGTACAGAATGAACTGGAGGGAAACAGACTGGGGGCAGAGAGACTGGTGGGAAGACTGCTGCAATAACACAGGCCTCAGACTGGCCTGAATTAAGCCAGTTTTGACTGGGATAGACAGACAAGACAGTAAGGAGTAAACTGAGAGCACCTCCATGGGAGACAGACCTGGCGATCTGCCTCCATGAAGATTACACCCTAGAAAACCCTATGGGGCAGTTCTACTCTGTCACAGGTGGTTGCTGTGAGTTGAAAATCAACTTGATAGCAAACAACAACAATGAGTAACTGGAGATAGAGAAAGAGGATAAACAAGAGCTCCTGGGTTGCGGAATGTAGGCTTCCCATCAGGAGGTATGTTGAATCTGAAGTGGCTATAAGAATTCCACAGTGGAGGTGGCTAGTGGGTAGCTGGATAATAGAACATGATCATTTGAAAAGATGCTCTATGGTGGTGTTACTGTCACATTTTATGTCCGGCATTATTCTGTAACCTCCTTCTAAGTAGAATTTGTGTCTGAGCTGACTTTCCGTCCCCGACAGTTACAAGTGTGGTGCCTCCCTGTAGTAGGTGCAAAGGCAGCATAAGTGTGTGCCACCTGCAGCTATGGGGAGAGCAGAAGTATTCTGAACAGGAAGTGACACAGTCAGGTCAGTAGCTGAGGAGGATCAATCTACAATTGAGAGAGGAGGACCTCTCAAAAACTAGGTGACCTGGCAAATGACAGCTGGACAAAAAAAAAAGGCATGGCCAACATCCTCAAAGCCCAAATGTGACTCAGACAATGGTTCCACGAGAAAAGTGATCCTTTTAAAACACAATACACATTAGAAGAGAAATATTGTCCTCTGACGAAACAGAGAATGCAATGATAAAAATAATGGGAACTACACAGTAATTTTGCAAATATCGGATAAAATAATAAAAAAAAAATCAACGTTTTTTTTTTTTTTCAGGATTAACATTCAAACCACTTAAGAACAATAATAACAATGAAAATACCTTCACCTGTTTATCATAAAAAATAGTTGCAATTCTGTAAAATCCATGGATAATTATCTAATTTACATAAGAATCAAAGTAATTAGATGGGGGTTTAGAGAAGACTCTCCCAAAACTACAGCAGCTTTGCCTCCTCCTTGGGAACGAATAAAGAAAACCAAAACCAAACCCACTGTCATTGAGTCAATTCCGACTCATGGTGACCCCATGTGTTATAGAGTAGAGCAGCTCCACAGGGTTTTCTTGGCTGTAATCTTCCTGGAAGCAGATCGCTAGGTCTTTCTTCTGTGGCGCTGCTGGGTGGGTTTGAACCGCCAACCTTTAGGTTAGTAGTGAAGCGCAATCCATCTGCACCACCCTGGGACCTTTCTGGCATGCGTGGTGACTAACAACCCAGCAGTTTTGGGTGGGATGCTGTATCCTCTTACCTGACAGTCCAGGAGAGTCTTCTGGACTGAGATCACACTTCCAGGTTTTTGTAAAGTTTTCAGTCTCTCTTCTTGCACCTCCATCCAGTTGTTCAAGATCTGTATTTTGTTTTCATTCTCAGTGATGCTTTCCAAAAGCTGTTCGAAATGTTGTATCTACAAATTATCATTAACAAAATAAAATTTTCTTATTTTTGACCACATGCCTTAAACCGTAAATGTCACAATATCTTATTTTTAAAAGGAAAATTTTGGTTTTTAAAAATGTCCAATATTTCTAATAAGATTTCCCAATAACTTTTGGAATAAAGATTTATAAATCAGGAAACAGAATAAAAATCCCCTTAGAAACACCTAACATTTAAAAATGAAAGCTAACATGCTCAGAAAGCTGGCTATGTTGGGGTTTCATAAAATCTGTAAAAAATAAAATTATGTTGCTAGCATTCGGTATTTTTTCATTGCATCATCTATTAATACATGTAAAGCTTCAGAAAATTTCCTTTCCCCAGACTTTCATTAGTCACATAAAAATTTATGTCAATACATTAAAAAAAAAAAATAATAATTCCATCAATTTAATCATCTTTGTTTTTAATGTCTGTGATTCTTTTCATTCCTTATATGCACAATTTTTATTTGGTTATACTCATAGTATATACAAAATTTTATATTCTTGTTTTGATTATGTCATAAGCCCTCTCTGTGTCATGACTTAGATTTTATGTTAATTTTAAAAGGCTGGCCAATATTTCATCAAATGAAGACAGTATAATTTGATTAATTATTCACCCATAGTTGGAAATCAAGGCATTCTACATTTTCCACCAATATAAATAGTGCTGAATACTTCCTGTGCACTTATTTGCATTTTTGAAGGACTATCTACTTAAGATAAATGTCTAAGAGGTAGATTGCTGGGTTAAGAGATAAGATGATTACGTAGTTCTTAAAATTTTCCAAATGCTTTCCAAAGGGTATTTAAGCTGTTATTAGCAATATATGGGTGTGACAGCTTTCAGCTTTATCCTTACCTTATTTAATTTTTTAATGTGATAAGTGTATAATGTACATAATGTTTATCTTTTGAACATCTGATACTGAAGTTGACACATTTCTGTGTTTATTTACTAATTATAATATTCTCTTTTGTGAAGTGTCTATTCATATTCTTTGTCCATTCATGTACTTGAATTTTAATTCTATAAATCCATTTGTATGCATTCTCTACATAATAAAGAGATCAACCAGTTGTCATCTGACATACTTTTTCAGGAATAAATTTTCTTAATCTTTTCAGAGTCATAGTAACAAATTTACCAAAAAGCCATATACACTTATCTTCTTTTTATAATCTGTTCAAAGCTGAAATAACTTTGCCTTCTTGAACATCTGCTTTCATGGAAAGTTACAAAATCTCTGACCATTTAGTAGTCTGATATATACTTGATATCTTCTTAACTAAAACTTCTCCTCTTCACTTGCCTATCTCAATTTCCCACTAAGGAATCTCAGAAGAAATACAAGAACTATTTTCATACTCTCTTATGTGCACCAATGGAGAATAGTAAAACATAGGATTTATAAAACTGAAAAACGTGTTGCCATCAAGTCAATACCAACTCATAGCGACCCTACAGGACAGAGTACAACTACTCCATAGGGTTTCCAAGGCTGGAATCTTTATGGAAGCAAATTGCCACATCTTTCTCCCACATAGTGGCTAGTGGGTTTGAACTTCAGACCTTTTGGTTAGCAGCTGAACACTTAACCACTGTGCCACCAGGGCTCCTACATAGGATTTATAAAGGGGTTATAATTGAGATGACTGCTAGGCTTAACTGTAAATTAACTATCTGAATTATTTTTTTCTTCAATTTTTAAGAAAGTGATATTTTGCAAAACCATACATCAACCTATGACATGTAAACACACCTTTCTATTCAGTGTTCCATGTAACTGGTGCCATTGGCGGTTCATCTCTCCCAGGTGCTCTGCGAATTCTGTTCTTTCATAGCGCTTACTTTCTACATCGCAAGTGCTTAACTGAAGTAATGACTGGTTAACAAAATCAACTATCCATTGCTTATAGTCCGTTTCCATCCTGAACTCCTAAAGCAAGCAAACAAACAAGCAAAAATAAAGAAAATCGAAGCCTGAATTGAAGTAGGTTAGATGAATTGGATTTCCCCTTATGCACTCTAGGGGGCACCAAGCTCACACCCACTAACTGAGGGCCGCCTTGGCTGGTATTCTGGAAGTCTAGAACTTCCAGCTAATCCTCAACTATATCAAGCACTATCATTAGATCCAAGTTCCGAAACATAAAATTCCCTTGTTCGGAGTTGCCACACACACAACAATTCCAAGACCAGGTCTAGACTGGGGCCTGTTAGGAATTATGTTCTACCTTCTCTCCCTATCCACCCCCCTCTCACCCAAGGAGTCCGCTTTGAGTGGAGATCCTTTTTAAGGAATTATACATTCCCAGGAACAGAAAGACTCATCACTTTCAAACAGAATGAAAAGCCAAAGGGAGCACCGTGTATGGTAGCTGTATCATCTAAACCAAAATCAGATCTCAGAGTCTGACAAAGGGTTCCTGTGAGAGGCTGCCTGAGAGCTACACAGGAATGCTGGGTCATCCTGATGGCTTATGGGAACAACAGGATGGAATATCTGAAGTGAGCCTCTCCCGGAAAACCCAGAACATCTTTAAGGAACTCTGGCAATTTAGTCAGCTTTTCTGTTCCTCGGGGCAGTCTAGGCCTCCCAGGCCTCCTGGAGTGGTTTCAATAGCTTTACAACCTATAGCAACCGTAAACCCACCCAGGGCCAAGCATGTTTCCCCATCAAGCCTGCTACTTGTTGGGTTGTATCCTGGAAAGTTCTAGCACCTCCTTTAGAGACATCCAGGGGGAAAACTATGTGATATGTGATAGGTCACTAGAACATTTAAGAATATATATTTGGATACCTTTTAAAGATTCTTTTGCTCACTGATGTTAGGATGTGATGGTATAGAAAAATAAAATCCTCTGCTAATATCATGCTTTGTGATTACGCATTCACCTTCTGCCTACCAGAGGCTAGATCCACCAGCCTGCATGGTCTTTGAAAGCAACGACCTGGGTTTTCATTCATTTCTGTATTCCTAGTGCTTAGCATACCGCCTGGCACACAATAAATCTTTGTGTGTGGCTTGTTAAATGTTAGTTAAATCTACTTGAAATCAAATATCACAGGGGAGGCTGCATTCATACCTATTTGTAGAAAGAGATCAACTTCTTTACTCATTCTCTTACTCAAAGAACATGTATTTAACACCTAAAAGATGTCAGGTATTGTGCTAGGTGTGCCAGGTCTGAGAGGTGAAGGATAGTCCCTTCTCTCAAGAAGCTCAGTCTAAGTGAGAATCCAGGTAAGTAGACAAATAATTATAATACTGTGTGATAGGAACTATTGATATCGCCACAGAAACATCTAATTCAGGAACATCACCTAATCTGGCCAAGAGTCAGGGATGGATTTCTGAATGAGAAGATACTTGAGCTGGCTCTTGAAGGATGAATAAAAAGATCAATACAGGAAAAATGGGGCACTGGTATTCCAGGTCAAGGTGCAGCATATATAAAAGCATGGTGGAGGGAGAGCACTGGAGGCAGTTAAATCCACTGCCGTCAAGTTGATTTTCACTCAGAGCAACCCTATAGGACAGAGTAGAACTGCCCCATAGGGTTTCCAAGTCTGTAATCTTTACAGAAGCAGACTACTACATCTTTCTCCCACCAAGTGGCTGGTGGGTTCGAACCGCCAACCTTTTGGTTAGCAGCCAAGCATTTTAACCACTGCGCCACCAAGGCTCCTTTGAAGCAGTTGAGGGACTGCAAATTGTTTGATTCAGGCAGAGTCCAGGTTTACGTGAGGAGGTATAGGGAGGCCACAGCAGTTTAATGGCTTAGATTTTGTCCTGAGCTGATAGGAGCTACTGAAGGAGTTTAAGCAGTAGAATAAGAGAAAGCATACTAGCTCATCTCTTTAGAATCATCCACCACTCCTTTCCGCACCCCCAGAATTAACTTTCCCAAATGACATCCTACATGTCTCCTTGTTCAGCTTCTCCCCTCAGACTGATTTGCCTTCTGATTTCATGAAAGACTTCTGGCTCCTTTTGTATAATTACCTTGTACTTGTGAAGAAGATTTTTAACTTGAGATGCAGAACTTGGTAAATGCACAGAGTCTTCATTTGCAGTTTGATGCTCTACACTGTTCATCCAGCTAATCATTTCTGTGATTGCTTTACGAGACGGCAATTTCTCCATCTGAAGCTGCAAGGACAAAATGATTTCCATTTAATTACCTGCAGTTAACAAAATGTATCAGGAAATTACTAAAGATGATATCGGGTTTGATAAAAGGTCTTGCTTCATAATTACACACATTATTCACAAAAACAAATCCAGCATTCAAGCTTAGAATAAGCGACCCCAAAACAACGACAATGACCTTCATATAAACTAACACAGTGGCACAGATAAATTGGGAAATAAAGTAATTAGGCCTGATTTCTCTCTTAAGAAAGATCCCATTGGAGGAGTGTCCAGTAATTAAGATCTATATTCAGTGGTGCCAGAGAGAAATAGGTAGTATCAATGAAAATTATTGAGTCAGAGGAATAATTACCGTGAGCTAACAAGCGAATGCTAATTTAAATGCCGGATCTGTAAATACTTACCTGGTGAAGTTTTTCTTGAATATCGGGAAGTTGAGTTATGAGCATTGTCCATTTTTGTTCAAACTGTGCTAAAGAAGCTCTCAGTGTAGCTGTATCTGCTTCTTTCAGGTGAAGAAGTTGGTTCCCAGTACTTATAACTGCTGTCTTTAAGGAGGACTTTTCATCAACTTCCTTTGAGAAGTCCTAATGGAGACAAGTTTTAAAATTTAGAAACTTTTAAAATTTAAAATATAGCCCAGACAGAACAAAACAAAGTGTCAGAATAACAGGTTAGAGTCCAAAAATAAACACAGCAAATATTTGAATGTGTGTGTATGTGTATGTGTGTGTAAAAAAATATTGTTTATTTCCTACTATGTGTCAGGCACTACTTCAGGCATTGGGTATACAGCAGTGAACAAAAGAGAGGTAATTTTTGCCCCTCAAGTGGTTTATAATCTAGCGAATTAATATTAGGAAAAAAAGACAAGTCATTATTTCAAAGTTAACTTTAAAAAGAGGCTATAGAATATAACCCAAAGTTTATATTTAATGAATACAACAATTTCTTAATCAAAATATTTTATATTGGAAAATAATTAAAATATTTGAAAGCTTTCCTATGCATATATAGATTTTTAAAAATATATTTAAAAACATCCACATTTTAATACCCAGCTGAGTGACCATAGCTACAAAATATAAAAAATGGATAAAAGATAAAAAGACTAAGGGAAAACACAAAAGGGTTTCATGAGTGCAATTACTGTAAAAGTAACACCTTCAACAAAAAAAACTCAAAATGATAGAACAAAAAATTTTTAGTAGAAATGCCAATTCTGTACATAAAAATGGAAAACTATGCATCTACTAACTTTAACATTTATGAATTAATAATCCTATAAGGTCTTCCTTTTTCGGGGGGGGCGGGAGGTATGTTCTGCATTTGTAAAACATGCCCCACATCAGAGCAAGTTTTAAATTTATATATATTTTATAGGATCAAATAAAAACATACTTATTATCACTATAAATGATGTTCTAAAAACCAACAATATAAACAAATAGTTAACAAGTTTGAAGAACATAGCTGCTATTTGGCCAAGTTTTATCTTTTACAGACAAATGAATATGGAGATTAATCACATCAGTCCTGATACTTTTCCCCTGATAATTATTTCTGACCAATAATCATCTCAGCATAGTATATGACAAACTTACAAAAAAGTTGTTTATGTTGCTTCTGATTGTATCCAAGTCCTGAGATACATTGAGGGACTGTTCTTTCCAATAATTCAAAGTTTGCTGAGAAGATTCCAACCATTTGGTTAACTCATCTGAATCTTTGTTGTAGCTAAATGGAGCAAAGTGAGAGATAAAGAAATTAGAAACACACTCTTATGATGACATATATCCTCAGTACTTTTTATTTTACTGTATATTTTCCTATGATGATCGGCTCTATTATTCAGAAAATTATGATGTTGTTAAGAATTGCATCCTGTTTCATACCATGCCCCAAATCTAAAGTCCCTGACATTTTCTAGGACTTTCTCCATTATGATTAATCGAGAACAAAGGGGCATTTTAAAGTCTAAAACATTCTTTTTTATTTCTTATTATATCTTCATGAAAGTACATCCATGGTAAGGACAGAGATTGTTTTTATTCATCAAATGTTATCAATAGGTTTGCTTATAGTAAAAGTATAACCAACATTTGTATAAGCTATATAACAGCCAACTGCTGTTGGCTGGATGCCAACTTATTTATCTGGTACGATGAAAATATAAAACAAAATGTTGTCCCTCTTGTAACATTTAAACTTTAGTTAGGCAGCCCTCTAAGAGCAGGGATGAGAATAAGGTCTAAACTTCCTATGTCCCCTACTTTCACCAAGTGGTTCAAGATTATACCAACTAAGTGAAAAAAATTCTCTAAAGAACTCAAAAAGATTTTTCAAACTCTTCTGTTAGTTTAAAAAAAAATTAACTTTTGGAAGAAGGCCAGAAAGAGCAACGTTATGGTATAAATGTAACATACATGTTACTTTATAACATAATTCCTAGCTTCCATGGAAATGTATATACATTCCCCAGCAAACTGATTATACAATATCCATAGTCTAGAAAACCAATATCAGACTCTAGATCTCATTCAGAAGAGAGACTCACTTGTTTTAGATTGACAAAGACAAAAACAGTACAAATCCATGGACCATATGCAAAATTTGGTTAACTGCACCTCTGATGTCCTTCTGCACAGCAAAATCGGAAGCCCATCAATCCCAAAGAAGACATACCTGATGAGATGCTTGAGAAGTGTTTGAAGTCTGTGTAGTTCATGGTCGATTTTTTTATTTAGGGACAACCACTGCTCTTCCAGTTTTGAAATCTGGCCCTCCACTTCCGGACAGCTCACAGATGCTACCAGCTGTTTGCCTTCACTCAGAGTCTGGTATAGCCGGGCATGCTTTTCATCAATGCTTCTTTTTATTTGCTAATAAAAATGAAGCCAGAGAATGAATTATTAACAACAATAACAAAAATTCAGCCAATTCAACCCATTCACAAATACTTTGTTAAACATTTACAATAGCGACTACTTCATTAAACATCTATATTAGGGACTACTAAAGAAACAAAAACTTTCCTAACCCTCAGACATATAGTCTGGCTGGACAGACAGGATTAATAGTGCATATCCTGGTGTATCAATCACCTTTCACAATGAGAGTGCCCGATTAGTGCAGGTTTATAGCACAGATTTAATTCTATAGACTATACATGTAAACAGAAAAGTCCACAAATGTACACCACTTGTTTAGATTTCACATTTCTCCACTCAAAACCAAAAGGAAAAGACAAGTTGGCAGGCCACGTTCAACATTTTGTGGTACACAAGGGCTCAGAAAATTATGTTTTTAAACTGATGCTAGAGGTTAAACTGATGTGACAGGTTTTGTGTGACCTGAGGATTATTTTAAAAATCAGGAAATTTTACATAAAAATCAGAAAATGGGAAGATCTGGCAACATTGGGTCTGCATTCTTATGTGGTGAAACCGTCTGGAACTAGGTAGCAGCCTCCCCTGTAGAAAAGCCTGTTCTCTTTAGTTCCTGGAGTCCCACCACCCCTATTACTATATACCCAGCTGGCATCACTTATTTCTGTTCTCTTGCCTGACTATCTTAAGCTTTTCAGGTTTGACCTAGGTACGAATGGGATAAACAGGAAATTATTTATTATCCTTTAGACCCAAATACTAAAAAAAAAAAAATCTAGAGTCATCTGAACGTAAGGATTTAGTTGTGAGAAAGCAAAAGGATTTTAGAAAAATAAAACAGATAGCATATTATCATTAATCCAACTTCATGAAAAGAAAAATAAAACTTCAAAACTACAGCTACAATAACCCCCTGAAGAGCGCTTTGTCTATAGGCAATTATTTTCCACAGTTGGGTTCAGCTAGTAACATGTATCCTGACACCTGTTTAATTTAATCTTTAAATTATTATCAAAATAGAATTTTTGCTATTTTCCAATTAACTTAAGCCTTTTTAAAAAATTATCAAAAATTCCACTTTCAACACCCTTTCCACCACCTCCCTAGTTTGTGGGCTAGAATAAAACCTCTAGTATCAGTTTTTTTTTTTTTTCTTTTTTTTTATTTTGCTTTAAGTAAAAATTTACAGTTCAAGTTAGTTTCTCATACAAAAATTTATACACACATTGTTATGTGACCCTAGTTGCTCCCCCTATAACGTAAAAGCACACTCCTCCTTTCCATTCCGGATTTATCATGTCCATTCAACCAGCTCCTGTCCCTTTTTGCCTTCTCATCTCACCTCCGGACAGGAGCTGCCCATTTAGTCTCATGTATCTACTTGAGCTAAAGGCACTCTCTTCACGAGTATCGTTTTATGTCTTACAGTCCAGTCTAATTTATGTCTGAAGAGTTGGCTTCGGGAATGGTTTCAGTTCTGGGCTAACAGAGTCTGGGGGCCATGTCTTCCAGGGTCCCTCCAGTCTCAGTCAGACCGTTAAGTATGGTCATTTTACTAGAATTAGAGTTCTGCACCCTACTTTTCTCCTGCTCCATCAGAGACTCTCTCCCAACATCAGTTTTAAAAAATGGTTCTAATTTTCTGAGCCCTCCTGGGCCAGACAATTCATCTTTAGAGCACCTGAGAAGTTTTAATTTCCCCATTTTATACATGGGAGACAGACTACGCTGGTCACTCAGCCCGTGATGTGCTGAGCCAGAATTTAAACATGGGTTTGTTTGACTCCAGAGGCCAGGCAACTGACCCCTATGTTTCATGGTTAACAGACATCCACTAACAGAGAAGATGACATCTGTCACACACATGCAACCCTCTCTATGACTCAGAGGACTGAGAACAGCCTTAGGAAGTCTTTAAGTGAGGTGGACTTTGAGTTATCTGTCTTCTTCCTCGTCTGGGAAATCTACTTAAAAGTCTTAGAATGATGATGATGATGATTTTTAATACTTCAAATTTAATAGAATCACAGATTTTAAAAAAATATAGTCACTTTTGAGGAGATAATCAGGCTCATATTAGGTTGGCTAATTTTAGACTGCTTTCTTATTAAAATGAGCCTTAAAAATGCTATCTGGGTTTTTTTCTTCTTTTCGATTTTAATTGTTGTAAAAATACACATAACACAACATTTTCCAATTCAACATTTTTCACAAGTACAATTCAGTGACAGCAATCATATCAATCATGTTGGGCAACCATCACCAATATCTGCTGCCAAATCTTCCATCCCCATAAACAGAATGCTATCTGTTGTGAACTGTACTCTTATAGCATTTCAAATGATACCATTTGTATCCCCAGACTAACAAAGAATTAAATAGCAGGTTTCTTTTTTCCTCCTCCAGAGGACCCTCAGAGTTGAGCTCAACACAGTGAAATGACAAGACCAAATGTAGGTTTCTGGGGATCTAGAGTATAAATATAGTGCTCCAGCCTCCGGAAAATGACCCTTGTAGTTGACGGGTACCATCAAGTCGATCTGGACTCACAGCAACCCCATGTGACAGAGAAGAACTGCCCCACAGGGTTTTCTAGGCTGTAGTCTTTATGGGAGCAGAGCATCAGGTCTTTCTCCCACAGAGCCACTGGATGAGTTGGAACTGTCAACCTTCTGGTTAGCAGTCCAGTACTTAACTGTTGTGCCACAAGGGCTTTTTCGAAAACGTCCCTTATAAAGGTTTAAATACATCCATGGGATGGCAGGGTCCTGCCAATCTTTCCTGCTTTCATTTTCCACCCAGTCTATTTAGGCAAGAGATATGCTTTTGAAATTTTAATATTGATATTTGATTACTACCTTCTAGGCGCACAACTCTGATTCTGACAAAACATATTCGAAAGTTAAAACTATTTTGCATTCCTCAAAGCTTCTCTGCTGAACTGTTTCTGTTGAGAAGATCTAAAATTCTTTATCTTGGTCATGTTCTCAATGTCACTTGGAAGCCATTGGAAGGCTTTTTCTTTTCTATGACATTGACACTTGAGACACAGAGACCTTGGTAACAGCACACTAAAAGTTAGACAAGAATTTTTAGAAGTTTGAAGTCTTTTTATAATGCGAGTGGCAAGTAACAGGATTATGGTCCATCTCATAAGGCTGTGTCCAATCAGGCCTTCATGGCTGTAATAAAACTAAAAATATGTGTAGGGATCCATGGTTTACAAAGTAGTTTCCATACTTTAGCTGGTTTGACATCTACAACAACCTCTTGAGACTGGTTGATTATCCATACTGTATAGGTAAAGAAATTGAGACTTAGAAAACAGTAAGGTCACAAAGGTGACATACACTATGCTGAGGAGCTCATGATCAAATCAGCAGTCTACTGGAATAGTGCAGCAGTGAGTTGTGTGGTGAGCAATGTTTCATTTCAATTCAAATTACACAACTTCAAAATCATGCAACTTAGTCAAAATGACACAAAACAAAATACGATGGGCCATGCCTCTGACAACTTAAATGGATGCAAAATACCTGGTAAAATGAAATCCTTTCCATTAATCTTTCCTCTGTCTCTTCCACCAAACTCACAGAGGGCAATGTAGATGTAAGAATTTCCAGGTCCTTTTCAAGAGATGCATAGTTTTCATCAAAGTTTTCCCATTTCTGGAAAACCAAGGACATAAAATCAGTGGGAGCCCTTTCCCAGATTGGTACCAGACAATGACAAAATTAATCATAAAAGCAAAAACGAACAAAATTAAAGCAGATTCCAGGGGTTTCCGAGAGATGTAACTCACCCTAGTTAGAGCTCAGTGTATAACAGAAAACAATTCCATTGCCTTTGAGGCCAAGGTTTAAAAACATCCAGCTTTTTATGCTTGTCATGTCAAATTGGGTAGGGAGTTAAAGTGATGCTCTTAGCATATATGCCTGTAGAGACCTGAGAGCCATATGAGATCTTATCTCTTATTTGGAAAGGCAAAGGGCTAAGTTTTAAAGGCTTTCTCAACAGAAGTTCCTGTCAGGCTGCTCCACTGCATCCTCATCCCTCATCCACTGAACGTTATGCTACTGTGCTGCCTGAGCCTAATTCTACTGAAAACCTTTTTGAGTGTGGGTTTATACCTCATCAAAACCAAAAAACTAAACCAGTGGCTGCGGTCAGGGTAGAACAGCGCTCCACAGGGTTTTCAATGGCTGTGATCTTCAAGAAGTAGACAGTCAGGCCTCTCTTCTGAGGCACCTCTGGGTGGGCTTGAATTGCCACCCTTTTGGTTAGCAGCAGAGCACTCAACCACTTGTGCCACTCAGGAAGTCCTTACATTTCATCACAGGAGTACTACGGCCTTAGTCTCAGTCTAGCCTTGCCCTAGCATTTTCCTTTTTCACAGAAGCCCACTGTGAGGGTCCCAGCACATCACAGAGCTGAGTTATTGACACTAAATATTACCTGTTGGATAAATAGCAACCTCAGTAATAGTGGATAACCTGTTTATTATGGGAAACTTACTGGGCCCATGAAGCTTTTTTCTTGATACCATGAAATATTGCTATAAATATAACTTGACACACTAAATTGAAAATGAATTTTATATCATCATATCATATCATACTCTCAAGTTGAATATGTCCTTGCTTTCTGTTTATTTCCTTTGTTAGGTGCTAATATCTGTTAACAAAGGTTTAAAAAGTTAGAGGGGAAAATCTTAAAATTGAGAAAGAGTTTCATGCAAGCTTTTTTTTCTTTGAAGTGGGACAAGATTGCCATGCATCCTTTTTAGAAGCAGAACATCTGGGCCTGTCCTCTTTGGGGAAGCGCAATTTCTGAATCACTGACTGCTACATTCAAATGATCTCATTCAAGATCTCAAAGTGCTTTCAATTTTGTTAATTCATGCTTCAACCCAGGAGGTAGAAAGATGATGTATCATCCCAAATTAGGTATGAGAAATCCCAGCTAACATTTCATTCAGAAAGTAGCAGTCAGAACTAGGACAAGTTCCATATTCCTCATTGTTATGCCTCCATTTAATGAATGATTAACGATAACTAGCTACTTGTGCTCTATACCTGCAGGCGTGGGTGAAAATTAGGAATTCCCAGTTTAACGTACAAAGTTTATTTAACCTAAATACCTGCAACAAACTCTGTAGCTTCATGCCACACTGGTGTGACTTTTCCTCTAGTAATTTAACTTCTTTGACTTGTTCTGCCCAAAATGCCTCTTTCTTTTGCAATAACGAAGGAAACATTTTGTTGGAATATGTTTGGATCAAAAACATGTCAGCAACAAGCTTCTGGAAAAAAGCCTACAAAACAGAGAAGGTTTTAATAGTTACTCATTTTTTTTAATTGCAAGAATCTTAAAAAGCAAGTTGCCTCATTTTTTTATTCAGTTATACTTGCTTTTTAATGCAAAATCCCAGGACATCCATGGAGTCAAATGTATAAGACAACAAAAAGAAAATTGACTATGGATCCCTTAGTCTTTGAACACTAATGGCATTTTAACAAATCATAAAGAAAAGTTATCCTAAGTAATATCTTAAACAAAATATTCTATTTTAAAAGGCAAACATTATTAATTATTGGTCAATTTCAATTTCCAGTGAGATCTGCTTAAATCCTAAATCAGTTCTGAGCTTAAAGATACTTTAAAAAAAGGGGGACGCCAATATGGTTGATTCATTTCAAGACAATGAGTTGGGTGGATAAATGTGAGTCCAAGCAGTGCACATATTCAACAGATGGGGCTCCTAAACCCTGGGTTTAACTTCCTCTCTACAAAATGGGTAAACAAAGGGAATTTGATGATGGGGTCTATCAGAATTCTGGTATATAAAGGCCCCAGACTTGCAATTTAAGAACCTTTCGAAAGGGAGGTTTTCCTTCACATAGTTCTTCTCTTACAGAGTCTGCTGCCCCCTCAATTTTTTGGAGGGTCCTCTTATACAAATCCCTTCTCTTATTGCTTAAAATAAAGAAGGGTTTGTAAAAGCGTCTAGCACAGGGCCTGGCACACTGTAGATGATCAATTAATAAAATTTTCTCCTTTTCCTCTCTATCCTTTATACAATATTTACCTTACAATTTTTATTAGACGAAGTTCTACTTATCAAAGGCCATAAGACTGTGTGCTTATTGAGGGTAGGGACTATGTCTTATACATTTCTTTTTTTTTTATTATAAGCACCTAAGAAACGGTGTATCTTTACTTGGTGCTCAAGAGATATTTGCTTAATGAAATGAAATGAGTGAAAAACTAAATAACTTATTGTAGCATTATACTAGATATACATATTTTTATGTATTTAAATAATATAGCTTCCTTTTTACCTCAATTCTCAGAAAAGCCTTTTCTAAACTCCCCAAGTCAATGTTCCCTATTAAATGCTCTCATGGCATGGATCCCAATTTAAAATTTATATTTGTTTGAATGGCTCACTGATAAATCTCTACCTTCTCAATCAACCAAATGATCCATGGATGTAAGAACAGTGTCTGTTTTTAACTTATAATTATATTCTTAGAGTTTATCAGAGTTCCTAGTACACAGTAAGCACTCCAGTAAATGTTTCTTAAAAGAATGAATGAATGATGTGTATTTCACCAAGGAAGAAAATGATGCTCTCTGGTCACACTCAGAAAAACCTTCAGATTTTAGTCTATGAAAAGGTGATCTGACCAGGGTGTCTTACCTTGTGATTCTGTATCTGAGCCTGTAAAGCAACTTTACTTTTGGTTTGTTGTAAGTGGTCACGAGCAAGCTTTTCTGTTCCAATATTCACCAGTTCCACCATGCCTTGCAACAGAGCATCTTGCTGAATCTCAGTGATGAAAGGGTTGCTGAGTTCTGAGTACCTGGCTCTTAGGATTCCCCACATACTGTCAAGTACATCCTGAAAAGAAAGAGCAGGTGTGCATGAGCATTTTTATCCAACTGTGAAAATAATCCAAACAAACAACAAATCTAAACCTCTTTGTTGCAAGAAAAAAAAGTCTTACTCCTTACAATCATAGTTCTGGTGAATGTTTTCTGCTCAGACATACCTCTAATTTGTAAACCTCCTGGAGTATACCATAAGGCAAATGAAGCCGCTCCCCTTCATCTCTTAGTTTTGCCACTTGGCTCTCGAAGTTATGTAGTTCTGCTGTATATGCATCTACTTTCTAAGTGGGACACAATGCAAAATGAGTAAAACCCTTTAATAAGTTAGAGCAGTGTACATATTCATTAAAAAACAATTAAGCAGTACAGAAAGGAATTTAAAAAAAAGTGAAAGTCCCGCCTCCCCCTCCCTACCTCTAGCTATGTCACTCTCCCAGACGTCCCATAGTTCCCCGTTTCTAACATGTTCTAAGCATATCCTTCAATTCACTGAATTACACCATAGCATCCTGTGCTGTGGTTTGCACCCCCACTTATTAGCTCTTCAAATTAGTACATATATACCTGGCCCGTTTTAAACAGACACATAATATTTCATTGTAAGGGGGCACCTAACTTTAGTAACAGTGTGCTTTTTAGACATCTGCTCTTGTTTATAGTTCAAAGAGTGCTACCAGGCACATCCTTAGACATTTAAACACATTTATCTTTGTGCACTTGTAATTTGTTTAGGATAAATGCAAATTCAGCACCTAGAACAGTGCCTGCACATTGTAAATCCTCGATTAATATTGCTGAATAAATAACACGAAGTGAAATTGCTGCTAAATATCGGAGGGTATTAATTTATGTTTAAGATTTTGATACATAACCAAATGATCCCAGAAGCTGAACCAATTAGCACTCCTACAAAAGATTGAGGGTCTCATTTCCTAATGCACTTTCCAACAGTGGACAAGCCTAAATTTTTGCCAGATTAATAGGTGAAAGTGGTTTCTTATTTTAATCCTTTGCACTTCATAAAGTACTACTTAAGAGACATTTTTCAAGGTCAACATAAATAGTTTTCATTTATTACTTAAACCTTGCCACTGCTCACAGAAGGAAACGGTTCAGAGGCAAAGCTTCTACATAAGACTCTTTGACCCAAGTTTAGGTCAGTTTGAATTATTTCAACTTGATTACCTGCAGCTGTTCATCAATACTCTGGCTACTAATTTCACTCAAAGACTGTTGCAAAGATGTTTTACTCTTAATAAGTTGATCATATAATCGCTTTATTTCATTCTGTATAAAAAGATAAACACAGGAAAGAGTGAGAAATCTCATTTAGGCCTTGTTACTTTTTGTTGTTGTTTAATTTTTGTGCTGTTGGAAATTTCAAACATATACAAAAATAGAAGGAATCTCGTGTTACCAACATCCAACTTCAACAATGTTTGCCTCCTGGCCTTCTTTCCTCTCTACCCTACCCCCACCTCAGAGTATTTTGAGGCAAACACCAGATATCATGTCATTTCATCAGTACATGTTTCACTATGTATGTTTAAAAGATAAAGAATCCTCCCTCTAAAAATACCGCAATACATTCCCCCAAATCAATAATTTCTTAGTATTATTAACTATCCTGTGAGAGTTCACATTTCTCTTAATTGCCTATAATTTTTTTGTTTGTTTGTTCAAATTGGGATCCAGGTGAGATCCATACGTTGTGATGGATTAATATGTGTCTTAATTCTCTCTTTTCTTTGGTGCGGGGATGTGAAAAAAATGGGTCATTTGTTCTGTGCAGTCTCCCCACAGTTGGGATTTTGCTGATTACACCTCCACAGTGCTCTTTAGCATGTTCTTCTTTTTTTGTGCCTCCTTTACTTGGATTCTGAAGGCTTGATCTGATTCAGGTTTGATTTTATGGGCAAGTCTCTTTCACAAATGGTGTGTTTCATTTCATTTTTATTAGACAATTTTAGTAGCTTGCTAGCTAGTCTACCTGTCTGAAGTCTCTGTCTCCCACAACCTTCAGACATCTGCCAGATTAATTTACCTGAAACATAACATGGATTGTCATTCCTTTGCTCAAAAAACTTTAATGGCTCCCCTTTACTAGAAATTTAAATACAAATCCTCCCACATGACACTCATTAATTGGCTGAATCTAGTACAGGAAAGAACCATTACTTGAGCTCATCCTAATAAATCCATACCCGAGACTTTGGAAAGGGCCTCATTTTCACAAGGTCTTCAACAATGAGCAGCAGAACTAAGAGCACTTCACAAAAGGAGAGTCTCACCATTCCCCTCAGTAATTCCTGCTAAGGACTGCTGCCAGGAATAAGAATTAACGGAAATGTGGAAATGTGTCCTAAAGCAGTACCCAAGCAGGCCATGAGCTCAGAAACGTACCTGATAACTGTGGTTATAGTCAAGGCCAGTTTTCAGGGACTTGCTTCGAGAGGCAGCTGCAGCCTGAGTGTGCTCCAGGCACACTTGGAGGTTTTCAAAACATTCAAGGAACAAGTTGGTTTTCTTGCCCGGCCATGTCACAGCTTTCAAAAGCTCACCTTTCTTGTCACTCATAGCTAAATAAAGTTTTTTCAACTCAAGGGCCAGAGCCTGTAAGGTGGAGAGGAAGGAAGACAGCGGATGAGCTCCGACCTCTAGAGGCTTCAGCTCTGCCCTAACGAGCTGGGCTGCTGTAACAGCCAACACATGGGTTCATTCGATGTTCCCTACCTCGCAGTGTACCTGCTGAGCATAAGCATCCCCTCTGCAAAGTGCAGGGGTTTGTAGCATCTCCTCCATGCTGCTGAGGCACTGACTGACAGCCAGAAGTAGCTCAAAGAATTTTTTATCCAAATTTATATATGTTTCTTCTGTCATGTTTTCCTGAATCAAGAGGGGAAAACAGAAAATAAAAATCATTAAAATGTCTTGCCTTTCTAAACTGGGATATAAATATATATACATATTGAATATTGTTTCAAACACGTTGAGAACGAAGTAGCAGAATACATAAATAAAACAAAATTCAAGAGTTTAATTCTGAGAAAAACAAGTCTAAGGAACTCAGTGTTGTTATTTAACTATTGAGTGAAATTAAAAGGTGAGTTACGGAGATGAAGGACTTCCTTAGCAGAGTCATCTGGGTGGAAGTGTGGTCCCAGATAAATCATACTGCCCCTCTTTCCACTGCCCCAGCCTCCACATTTTAATGTTAGGAGAAACTGGGTAAATGATAGCAAGCACAGCCTGGAGAAGGAAAAGAAGTCACAAAGAGAAGTGTGAGGGGGTTGGAAAGAGAAAGAACAGTGTCTTAAAGATAAGGACTGGCTGCGGGGCATAGGAATTTAGGGGTGTCGTTCATGGCTGATTGTGAGACTCAAGACCACCCTTAGATGCACAACTCTATGGGGATCTCTGGGTTATGCCATGGTGGCCAGGTGAGTTTGGGAACCACAGATTTGTTTTAGCATAAACTGCTGGAACCACCTCTTTTTTTAACCCATGATCACCTTGAATTCCTGACCAGATACGAGCATGCCAAAGCCAGTAATCTCCCCAATTTGGGCTGTGTGTTACTGTCTTCCCTGATGGATACTTAACAATATCCAGTACAGTGACTCAGCATTAAGCCTACTCAAGGTTGTAAACCACATGAATGCTTCCTCATACTCCCTCCCCAGCCCTCCTTCCTAATCTTTCCTATCCCGGATCACCACTGCAGACATTACTAATCAATCATGGTCCTCTCCTCTGCTAATCCAGGACTCCAACTCAGAATCCTTTTCCATACAATGCTCTAGGCAGCCATTATGAAATTGATCAGAGTTGGCAAGCAAGATAAATTCTATTCACAATTCTAGGAGTCATTCTATTATCTGTTGAGTGAAGAAACTATGACCAATTTACAATGATAATATCATGACTCTTTTATTTCTTATGTTATTACAATAAGAGATACATAACGTGCAACTTTAAGAGATACATAACGTGAAACTTCTACCTGTGTCTGGAGATTATTTGCTTCTTGACGTAGGTCTTCAAGTTGGATGGTACAGGCTTGTAGTTCTTCAGTTGTTGGGTATCTAAAGTTATACTTGCCCACACTGGGTAGAACACTTATATTTGTGGCAACCTGTTTTAAAAAAGGGAGCCCCTGTTAGTAAAAGTTGTGGTCCTGATGATATTAATGAAAACAGCAAAAATGCCTTAGTATGCTCTCTCTGAGTCTCCTTCTCGGTAAATATTTTTTACTATCTTGTCATTTGTAAGAAAAAAAAATTTAAACTTCAAACATTTTGGATGGTTTTAAGTCATGACAGGCTTTTTACTTAGACACTTGAGGGTCCTTTTAGATACTAAAATGAGGGGAAAACAAACCACACTTTGAGAATAAAGTAAAACTACTAATCTTTCAATTTAGTAGCAACGATACTCATGCAACAAGGTTATTTAGCTCCTCGTTTACTAGTTGGCTCCTGGTGCAGCCAACTCTTAGAACAGAACACAGATCACCTTTGGTGACAGATCTGCATTTTGATTTGTCAATGAAAAACTAAATAAGTATTTAAAACAAGCTATGAGTTCAGAGGGAGAATGCCTCAGAGTTAATGTCTTCCTCAACTTGGAAAAATGACATAGAAAGAAACAGGGTGGGATGGTGGATGTTTCTTCTTGGGGAAAGATTGGGGAAGGAACTACTAATGATATTCTGCTCTTTGAAAGAGAATGACATGCATATTATAGTATGTACAATAAGGAGAAAGCAAGACTAAAGCCCTACCAAGAGCTTGATTCAAGTTTAATTGGCCAAATAAGGTTCTCAGTCAAGTTGATTTCGACTCACAGCAACCCCATGTGACAGAGTAGAACAGCCCTATATGGTTTTCTAGGCTGTAATCTTTATGGGAGCAGATCACCCGGTCTTTCCCCCATGGAGCCACTGGGTGGGTTCGAACTGCCAACCTTTTGGTTAGCAGCCCAGTGCTTAACCATTGTGCCACCAGGGTTCCTTATCATATGTGCATATTGACATACACACATATATAGCCATATTTTACCTGATCCTCACTGTATTTCTCCTGAAGCATCATGAGATGAGAATTGAAAAGTTTCTACCAGATTGGAGAACTGGGTAATCACTGGTAACCTTTGCCCAGGCTGTTAGAGTGGAATGTTGACAACAGAAGCCCGACTAAGGTGGGCTGAGCAAAAGAACTGGCTGTTCTATTCCGTGTTTGGAGAGAAATCCAACAGTAGCTGGCACAGTGGTCCAGGCTGAATAAAACCTGTCATGGTAGTGGTAGGTGTACTGGTGGAATCCTGAGTGACAGGTACCACTGGCACGTACACTTTCCTCTTCTAATTTCCTCAAAATCCTAGGCTATTTTGTATGTTCAAGTCTTTGCACATGTTGTCTTCTCTGCCTGAAATCCTGTTACCAGCTTTGTCAACCTAATGAACACCAAGACATTGTTCGAAATTCAGCTCAATTGTTATCTTCTCATTGAGGTCTTACCTTGTGCTCCCCTCTCCCCACTGCTGGTAGACCAGCTGCCTCCACTCTACTCAGTAAATTGTTGTATCACAATTCCCTCAGTACTTGATTCATGGTTTATTTTCCCTGCTAGACTTTGAACTCCCCGGGAAATAGGATCAGATTCATCTTTTCAACTTTGGGACCTGGCACAGGGGCTGGCACACAGCAGATTCCAAAGAGCTCTGGATGAATGAATGTTACTTGTACAGCACTGTATAGTTTATAAAGTGTTTTTACATATATTAGCCATTCTTTTATTCATTCAACAAATGTAACTGAGATTCTATGACATGCCAGGAACTGTGCTAGGCACTCAAATGTGAACCAAGCAGACATGGTCTTTCTTTTCATAGTACACACCATCTAGTGGGGAATACAGACAAATAAACAGGTCCACAGTATAGGAAGCGCAATGATCATGCAAGTCCAGGGTGCTACAGAAGCTCAGAGGAGAGGCACCTCAGGCAGATTTCCAGTAGGATGAAGTAGGATCTGCCAAATCAAGAACTCCCACTTTTGCTTTCTGAAAATAAACTGCTACATAATGCAGAACATACATCTTTAGTCAATGTGAATGTTTGTTGAATTTTCAAAGACAAACATGCTTATTTACTGTGAGCATACAAAGACTGACCTGAGGTGCCACAAGCTGAGATGAAGGTAGCCGGATTTTTGATGATAATTCATGTTGTAAATATTGCCATTTGTCTCCACTTTGGCCCTGAGCTGAAAAGACTGCATCTGGGGCATCATTTTTGGGGATAGATGCCTTATCGCTTTTGAGAAAGAGTAAAAGGTAAAGAGAATAATGAAATTTTGCATTACATTCAGACAGTGTTTTAAAAACAATTTTTAAGAAAACACTCTTAATTCTCTCAATCAAAAATACTACTGAATGTCCAACTACTTAAAAATGTTTTACCTCAAAGATGATTCCTGAGTTGTTTCTTTATCTTCTTGGGAATATTGGGGCCACATTTTTGTAACATTAAGTTCTATGAATTTGATTAAATCTTTCTGCTCCACAGGTTTTAACTCCAGGGCCTATAAATTAATAAGATTTCAAATGGTCCAATCAATTATGGTTTTCAATTAGCACCCATGGGTTTCTTCTGCTGAGATCCTCTGATTCTGAACCTCTTCCTAAATCCTTAGATACTATTTCTCTTTCTTTCTTGCTTGTTCTCCTTATCTTTTGTTTCTCAAAAACCTATTTAAAATATTCACTCGATGGACAAGTGTTATTTAAAATATACTACAAACATAGAAAAAATCACTATAAAAATTAACATATTTTGTAACAATAGATGGCAATGTACCGAGTAAAATAAATCAGATGGCACGGTGCCAGGTTTGTTAGATCAGAAAGAATTACACTACTCACTGGCGTTGTCACAGGCTTTTATTATTTACAGTAATCAGGATGATGATAAATGAAGCAAGGGTTTATCAAGAGCCAGGTTCTCCCAAAAGGCTCCCGTCTAAAGGTGAGATGTTTTTGATCATATCCACATGCGCCTTTTACATGCCATGGGCAAGAGAACAATGGGGGACTTGGGGTTGGGCTTATATAGCATAAGCCGGAGGGGTATGTGTGCTGGATTGCATGGGAAAAACGAAAGGGGGTAAAATAAAGGGGCTTTTGCTCACCTGATCTGACCACCGTCTTTTGTTTAGGTGCAAACCAGCATAACCAGAAAGAATGTTTCTTACCCTCTAGCTACAAGACTGATTCTGTACAAGTAAGGAGTCATGGAGACAGAGAAAGTTACTGTGAGCTCAGAATAGGGAAGAAGCTTCCTTAGACAAGGAGAAGGGACTGGGATAGAGAGAGGGATCCAATTCCCAGCCTCCCTATCAAAGAATGCTCAGAACCCAAGGCCTCAGCTTAGGTGGCCTGGATGGGAATCAAAGACAGACCACCTTCTCAGCAATAGGGAAAGCAGTGTTGCAGCTAGAGATAAGTTCATCCAGAAGATATTTGCTCTGTTTGATATAAGATGCAAGTTAATAGAAAAGTTAGTGTGCCTTGCTATAGCAGATAAAAGCAAACGAGGGGCTGTAGCAAATGCTCAAAACTCAGAGTCACTGCACACACACACATGCCCACACATCACATTTTCCATCCAGTCACATAAGCAAACACTCCAATGGCAGTTTAATATTCAGTTCAAAGGGAAATTCCATACAGAAAGCTTTATTCTTGTCCTTATAACTGTTAGGGGTAGAAAGTACCTGTTGCTGCTGGAAATCTTTTTGTCTGCTAAACTGCGGCCTTTCAGTTACAATAAATACAAACGCAGAAAGATTATCTGGCTGGAAAACTTTTTTATGTTCTGAAGGTTTCTTTACAATGGTAGAATGCTGCAAAAAAATTTCATGACGGCAGATTATTTACTTAAAAAGAAAGACCTACTTTACTTCAATTCTAATAACAGAGAAGATTTATATGAAGTAAATGACCATACTTTGTCATTTATTATAATTACATACAAGGATTTAATGTGATTTTTTCATAACAACTTCAAAAAATGCACTACATTTGATGAAGTGGTCATCTTATGCCTTCCTCAACCATATTTATCCAATGAATTACTAAAAGCCAGGAAATTTATTGTCTTTTTCTTAAGAATGAAGAAAAAAAAAACACAAAAAGTATGCTTATGAATTCAAATTTCCCCTATGTCTAAAATATAAGTAGTTTTTTTTTTTTTTACAAAAAGAGAGAACAATATCTATAACAAATTTTACTTCTGTGAGTGTAAGTCCCCGAAGTAGGAACCATAATTAAGTATACATGCAAATCTTATATACTAGGATCCTATTATAAGATGCAAATCTGCATTTATGAATACAGAATGCTTTTTCACAAGAACGCTTTAACTGTATAATACTCTGATCAGTATATAGACATCCTTCTTTTATGAAGAAGGCTTACACTACACCTCAATACCAGCAAGAACACCCAATCCAATCAAACCAACTTAAACCAAACTACCCCTACCACTACCAACAACCTAAGAAAACTGCATAATAAAATAAAACCAATAACAAAAAGCCAGCATACTCATTCCTTACAGTTTCAAGAGGCATAATTGTTTCTCACTTAGTGTATTTTCTCTATAGTTAATTCATCACCTTCATTCAGAGGTCTTTTCTGATGGGTCTACAATACGTGTATGTTGTTGTCGTGTGCTGTCAAGTTGATTTCGACTCACAGCAACCCCATGTGACAGAGTAGAACAGCCCTATATGGTTTTCTAGGCTGTAATCTTTATGGGAGCAGATCACC